AGCTACAGATGTCTATTTTCTAGGGCATTTCACGGATTGCTAATATCAGTTTGGTAGAAGAAGTTATGGTCGTTTTAACACTGAAAGAATCCCATGAGGCTGAGCAGTTTGTAACTGACAAGAAAGCATTGAAAGCAATAAATCGAATAAATCTAGCAGCCAAAACTGATGCAGCCAAGAACAAGCCAGCTGATACCTATTCAAATATCAGAGGAAATGGAATTAAAGATGAGGATTAAGTGGGAGTAATAGGCATAAAGGCTACCTAAAGAGTTACAATTGTTTTACCATTTCCTCTCACTTATTGTCATCACTAAATGGCTGTTAGTAAGGTGAGTTATGGAGAAGAAACTAGGGCAGCAAGTAAGAACAAAAGAGCTGCAGGTTGCAGCAGCAAAGAAGAAGAGAGAAAAAAATAGAACAGAAAGAAAAGGCAAGGCAGCAGTGTTGGGGAATGAAGGAAAGGCAGGAGGAAATCTTGGCATTCTCTTCTTTCGGTTTTATCTTCTCCAACTCATGTCTTTCTTTTGGTTTTATTTAAGGATTATGTGTAACTAATTTTTAGTAGTTAGGGGCTTTTTTAAAGCTCCGAATATGATTGCCAGTTTGTTATGACATTTCGTTTGAATTACTTTTATGAATGGATGAAAATTGGTTCACTACTTGTCTCATCGATGAATTCTTTACGTGTTTTCTACGGATGCATACTTAGTAAGCATATCTAGGATTCTAATGCTATGAATATGTGTGTGCCTTCCCTTGTCGAAAGAGGACCTACATATGTTCTAGAGTAGTACTTGTTAATTACGATTAACATGTGAACTAATTTCTAGGATAAGTAAGACAACTCTAGTACTTACGATGCCTTGTGATGACTCAAAACTCTTTTCGTTCTTAATGATTTCTACTTGTTAAATCTATGAACACGTCATTCTAGATTGCATGCTAGGGACTAAGTTAAATTGAAAACGCCATTCTCTTAACATATTACATAAGAAAGAGTAATAGGTTGAGTTCTAACATTGAGCCAACTTGAGCATCTTCATCTGGAAATAAAAGGAATTTGAATGAAACATAACATGTTTGCATGATTATTTGGTGGTGGATAGCAATTCCCCTAACTCGTTTTTCTTAATATGTGAACTACTTAAAATTTATTGATCATCCACACTTAAAGTGGAACAATCAAGACAACGGACAACAATCTGTTCCCAACAACTATAACCGTCCACCTGGCTTCTTTCAAGCAAGACCGCAAGCACCATTTCAACCTCAACAACAAGCTCCAAGTAAGTCTCTTGAGGATTTAATTGCTTCTTTAGCTAACTCTACTCAATCTCATCAACAGAAAACAAACAAAGCAATTGAAAACCTTAAGCGCCAAATGAGTTAGTTAGCAAGTTTAATGGGGCAACAACACCAACCATGAAGGTTACCTAGCAAAACTATGGTGAATCCAAATGCGGAGCAGATGAATGTTGTGACTTTAAGGAGTGGAAAATAAGTTTTTGAGCAGCCAAGGATGCAAAAGAGGACTCGAAAAGATACAAATGAGCAAGGGGAGCTACAAACCAAAAATCTTGAGCAAGATGAGGCTTCAACAGAAACTGAAAAGTCTCTTAAAGCTACAGAATTGAACAAAAAAGATTCTAATAAGGTAAGTAAAGAAGTTCAAAATTCATTTAACTCATGTGTCCCTGTTCCTTTTCCTCGTAGGTTTATGAAGTCTAAGAAAGAGCAAACTGATAAGGAAATTTTGTATACTTTCCGGAAAGTCCAAGTGAACTTACCTCTTTTAGATGCCATGAAACAAGTGCCCAAGTATGCAAAGTTCCTTAAAGAGCTTTGTACGAACAAGAGGAGATTCAATGCTCAAGAAATTGTGGCATTAAGCGAGGAAGTATCAGCTGTTTTGCAGAGGAAGCTGCCACCGAAGTTGAAAGATGCCGGTAGCTTTACCATTCCATGTGTAATCGAAGGGAAAAAGTTTGGGAAAGCATTGTGTGATTTGGGGGCATCCATTAATCTGATGCCATATTTAGTGTATAAATCATTGAACCTTGGATACTTGAAGGAAACAAAGGTAGTAATCTAGTTGGCAGATCGTTCAAATAGATATCCCAAAGGCCTATTAGAGGATGTACTGGTGCAAGTGAATGAGCTCATTTTTCCCGCTGATTTTTTTGTTCTTGAGATGGAACATGACCATATGCCTGTTGCACTTCCTCTTATATTGGGAAAACCATTCCTTAGAATGGCACGTACAAAGATTGATGTCTACGATGGTACCTTAAGCATGGAAATTGATAGAGAAAGCGTCAAGTTCAAAATCTTCAATGCTATAAGGTACCCTAGTGATTTTGAATCTTGTTTTTCTATTGATGTGTTTGACTATTTTGTGTAGGATTTTAATGAAGGTGTGGGACAAGATAATTTAGAAAAGGCGTTAGTGCATAGCATTACACATGGAAAGCTTAATTATTCCAAGCACATTGAAGAAGAATTAATCCAAATAGTGTCAACTCTTGAGTTTCTTTCACCAATATGTGGTAAGTCTTCTTCCTATTTTATTTATCTTTCTACTTCTAACGAAAAAACTCTTCCTTCTATGATTCAGGCACCCAAATTGGAGCTTAAACCGATTCCTAAACATTTGAAGTATCCATTTTTGGGAACGGATGAAACATTACTGGTCATCATATCGTCACAACTCACAATAGAAGAGAGGGAGAAACTGATCCGGGTACTGAAGGATCACAAAACTGTCATAACTTGGAGCATTGCAGATATCAAAGATATTAATCCAGCTACATGTATGCATATGATTCTGTTAGAGGAAGGTGCAAAACCAACAAAGGAAGCTCAACGCCGTTTGAACCCACTCATGATGAAGGTCGTCAAGAAAGAGGTTATCAAACTTCTGGATGTTGGCATCATATATCCTATCTCAGACAGCAAGTGGGTGAGCCCTATTCAAGTACTTCTGAAGCGATCCAGAGTCACAGTTGTTAAGAATGAAGCTAGTGAGCTAGTGCTTACACGTGTGTAAAATAGTTGGAAAGTCTGTACAGACTATCGAAAGATAAACAGCACCACACGCAAGGATCACTTTCCTGTCCCATTCATTTATCAAATGTTAGAAAGGTTAGCTGGTCATTCTCATTATTGCTTTCTTGATGGCTATTCTAGATATAATCAGATTGCAGTTGCTCTAGAGGATCAAGAAAAGACAACTTTCACATGTCCATTTGGCACATTTGCATATCGAAGGATGCCATTTGGACTTTGCAACACCCCTGCCACATTTCAAATGTGTATGGTAAGTATCTTTTATGATGTGATTGAGAAAATAATTGAAGTGTTCATGGATGATTTTTCAATTTATGGTGATTCTTTTGATACATGTCTACATAATTTGTCCCTAGTTTTAAAAAGTTGCCAAAAAACTAATCTGGTCTTAAATTGGGAAAAATGTCATTTCATGGTTTCGCATGGATTAGTTCTAGGGCATATCATATCTGAAAAATGGAATTGAAGTTGATAAATCTAAAGTAGAACTTGTTAGTTCTTTACCCCTCCCTACTACTGTCAGGGAGGTTCGTTCTTTTCTTAGACATGCAGGTTTCTACCGTAGGTTTATGAGGGACTTCTCAATGATTTCTAGACCCTTGTGTTGTTTGCTTCAAAATGATGTAACATTTGATATGAATTAAGAGTGTGTGGTAGCATTCAACAAGCTTAAGGAGTTGTTATCCACGGCTCCTATGATCATGCCACCAGATTGGAGTTTACCTTTTGAGTTGATGTGTGATGCTTCAGACTATGTCGTCGGTGCAATTCTAGGGTAGCGTGTCAACAAAGTGCCACATGTCATCTATTATGCATCTTGAACACTCAATGATGCACAGTTGAATTATTCAACAACAGAGAATGAGCTTTTAGCTGTTGTATTTGCTTTAGAAAAATTTAGATCTTATCTGATTGGGACTAAAGTTATTGTGTTTTCTAACCATGCAGCTTTGAAGTATCTACTCACAAAAAAAGATGCAAAACCGCGACTCATTCGATGGATACTTCTGCTTCAAGAGTTTGACTTAGAGATCAAAGATAAGAAAGGGAGTGAGAATGTTGTAGCAGATGATCTTAGCAGACTTGTGCATTCAAACACATAGGAATATCTCATCCCTTTACATTAGAGTTTTCCGGATGAGCAATTGTTTTCATTAAAGGCTACTGACCCTTGGCATGCATATATTATCAATTACAAGGTCATTAAAAAGATTCCGTATGATTTTACACGTGCTTAGAAAGATAAGACTGTCAAAACCGCCAAATACTACGAGTGGAATGATCTTTATTTGTGGAAATATTGCCCTGATCAATTGATTAGAAGGTGTGTCCCTGAATCTAAGTTTAAATATATTCTAACTTTTTGTCATTCTTATGCATGTGGCGGCCATTTTGGAGCAAAGATGACAGCTCTTAAGGTGTTAGAGAGTGGTTTTTATTGGCCTAGTTTGTTTAAGGATGCGTACGAGCTTTGTGCAACATGTGATCGTTGTCAACGAACAAGTAACTTGGGCCCAAGAAATCAAATGCCACAAACCCCTATTTTGATTGTTGAGATCTTTGATGTGTGGGGCATTGATTTCATGGGACCTTTTCCATCTTCTAATGGTTTTCTTTACATTTGATTGGTTGTGGGTTATGTTTCTAAATGGGTGGAGGCGAAAGCCACCAAAACTAATGATTCAAAAGTTGTTTCAGATTTTATTAAGACTAACATCTTTGCAAGATATGGAACACCTAGAGAAATCATTAGCGATGGAGGGAGTCACTTTTGCAATAGAACATTTGAAGCATTGCTTAGGAAGTACAATGTCACACATAAGGTGTCTACACCTTATCACCCGCAAACTAGTGGTTAAGCAAAAGTATCAAACCATGAGGTGAAGCAAATTTTGGAGGAAATTGTGAGTCCTAGTAGGAAGGATTGGAGCATGCGCTTGAACGATGCATTATGGGCTTATAGGACTGCCTATAAGACTCCTATTGGAATGTCCCCATTTCGGTTAGTTTATGGGAAACCATATCGTCTTCCAGTAGAGTTAGAACACAAAACTTATTGGGCGATCAAAGCCTACAACATGGACATGAGTGTTGCCGGACAACAGAGGAAGTTTCAATTGAATGAGTTAGATGAAATCCGAAATGATGCATACGAGTCTAGTCGAATATACAAGGAGAAATCAAAGGCATTTCATGACAAGATGATATCAAGGAAGAGCTTTATCATTGGACAAAAGTTCTTCTATTTAATTCTCGCCTTCGGTTATTTCCAGGTAGCTTCATTCTCGATGGGTTGGTCCATTTGTTATAACTAATATTTTTCCTCATGGTGCAGTGGAAATCCAAAGTGCAAAGACTGGAAACGTGTTCAAAGTGAATGGGCATAGACTCAAGCCATATTACGAGTCTTTTGCGGAGCATGATGTGGAGGTTGTAGCCCTCCAAGAACCATCTTCCCTTGGATGATTACTCTTGGTATCGTCCAGTTGGGGACATAAAAGCAAGCGCTTATTAGGAGGCAACCCAATATTTCTATTCATTGTCTTTTTATGTCATTTTCAATTTTCCGTTTGTTTTTGTTTTCTGAATTTTCTTTCGTGTTAAACTGAATTATTTCTTTTCTTTGTAGGAAAGTTTGATCATGTCCACCATTGGAGTTTATTGCATAATTGAAGTTTGGGGGTCATCGTTTGATTTTATTGCAAATTGGGGAAGTTTTCAGTCTAAATGCTTTATTTTGTTTCTTACTATTTTATTTTATTTTTATTTTATGCATTATTGTGTTTTCTGACATTGGGGACAATGTTCAGTTTAGGTTTGGGGGTAAGGATTGAAAAAATGACCAAATTGAAAATTTTCTTCCCTTCGACTAAGAACTGGTTTGATTTGTGTCAGTGTTGTTTCTTTTTATTTTCTTAATTAGTTTTGTTTACTCTAAAAAAACCCCAAAAAAAAACATTAAGAAAATTTGAAAATCTAAAAATAGTCTTATTTTCTTTATTGTTTTGAATTAGATTTTTGTTAGTTTCCCGACCCAATGATATAATTGGATTGAATTTGAACCATGGTGATCAAGAACTTAGTAAGCATGTATTGTGTGAAATTCTTTATTCTCTTTTTAGCCTTGTACATCTTTAATCATCTTTGAAAACCCAAATGCACATAGCCTTGTTGATGTGAAACTAAAGCATGACTTAAAGCTTCGTATGTGAACATAGTGACCATATACAGCCTATGTGAGTTTTTGAGCCTATTGAAAGTGTGTGCATTTTTCATACACTCATATTCTTTCATGTGTGATGAACTTATGTGACTTACATCTCTAGAACTTGCATAACGATCTTTTGAAATGTTTGTCATTTGATTGCATGAACTTGAAAAGGAAAGACGCATTAGGTTTACCACCATGGCCCAAATAAGCATGTTTCCTGAAGAAAAATGATATCATTAGATTACCAATTTGAGTCGTATGTTGAGCCTTTTATTTCTTATCACCAGATATGTCTACCCTTATACCTTAAACATTTTTCCTTACCATTTCCAAGCTAGCTAGTGAGCAATGTGAGATTGTCTTATGAGAAATGTTTGTGAAGTACTTTGAAGGAGTTTGGCAAAAGAATAAGTGTGGGGGTATTTCATGTTTGTATTTAGTTTTAAAAAATGTAAAAAAAAAAAGAAAGAAAAAGAAGAAGAAGAAGAAGAAAGAAAAATTGTATACAAAGCAAATAAAATTTTTTTTTAAGTTTCAGTTTAGGGGTGTGGTTGGAGGTATTAGTAGAGTGGCTGGAGAGCTTGAGTTCTTATAAATCTCAACAAGAGAATTGCTTGCAATGTAGCTTGGAACTTGTGTTTACCTATCCCTTCATTTCTATAACCCTCTCTCTAAGCCTCATTACAACCAATAAAAGTCCTCTTGATTTAAGTTTTGCAATTATGATTGTGGAGATGAGATCTTTATGCAAGCTTATGGTAGATCTTTCACATTTGATTCTTTGAGCAAAACATGTTAAACTAAACATATGTGTGATTGAGTGTATGTCTTGTGAGAAGGTCACTAGTTTGTATGTGGTGTTTTAAAAAAAAAACTTGAAATTGCATTAGCATGGCTATTACACACACTACACTTTAGGGATGATTAAAAGGTTACTGCTAACATTTGAATAAGGAAAATGAGCTTGGATTGGCTTGTTTGGTGCTAGCTAAGGTTCTTGATGATTTGTTTCCTTGAATGAAATTATATGAGGGTCACATAGGGGGAAGCTAATGTTTTTCATGTTGCTACTTTTTCATGTTAGTAAGGGAATTGCTATCCACAAATTATGAAAACAAGCCAACTGATACCTATTCAAATATCAGAGGAAATGGAATTAAAGATGAGGAATAAGTGGGGGTAATGGGCATAAAGGCTACCTAAAGAGTTACAATTGTTTTACCATTTCCTCTCACTTATTGTCATCACTAAATGGTTGTTAGTAGGGTGAGTTATGAAGAAGAAACTGGGGCAGCAAGTAAGAATAAAAAGGCTGCAGGTTGCAGCGGCAAAGAAGAGGAGAAAGAAAAAATAGAACAGAAAGAAAAGGCAAGGCAACAGCGTTAGGGAATGAAGGAAAGGAAGGAGGAAATCTTGGCATTCTCTTATTTCGGTTTTATCTTCTCAAACTCATGTTTTTCTTTTGGTTTTATTTAAGGATTATGTGTAACTAATTTTTAGTAGTTAGGGGCTGTTTTGAAGACCCGAATATGATTGCAAGTTTGTTATGAAATTTCGTTTGAATTACTTTTTATGAATGGATGAAAATTGATTCACTACTTTTATGATTGCAAGCACCTGTTTACTTAGCATAGCTTGTTTGAGAGTGAGAAATGCCTCTGTAGCTTCAAGGGACTGATAATCTTACCAAAATGGGGAATGAACTTCCTATAGTAACTAGTTAACCCCAAGAAGCCTCTAAGAGCTTTAACACTAGTAGGAATAAGCCATTTAGAAATGGAATCCAATTTCGTAGGGTCTGCAGCAACACCATCATTTGAGAATATATGACCAAAGTATTCAACTTGTGATTTACCAAAAGCACATTTAGACTGCTTTACAAACAATGTGTGCTCCTTCAAGGTGTTAAACACCATTTTCAAATGCTGCAAATGTAAGCTCCAAGAAGCACTATAGACCAAGATATCATCAAAGAAAACTAAGATAAATTTTCTGAGATGTGGTCTAAATATTTCATTCATTAAGCACTGAAAAGTGGTAGGTACATTGGTCAATCCAAATGGCAATACCAGAAATTCATAATGACCATCATGTGTTCGAAATGCAGTCTTTTAAACATCATTAACATGTATTCCAATTTGGTAATAACCTGCCCTTAAGTCTAATTTGGAAAAGTATTGTGCTCCAAACAATTCATCAAGTAATTCATCAATAAGAGGGATAGAAAACTTATCCTTGATAGTGATATCATTAAGCCCTCTATAGTCCATACACATTCTCCAAGTACCCTCATTTTTCCTAACCAAGATCACAGGTGAAGAATATGGACAGTTGCTAACTTAGATGAAACCATCTTGCAAGAGTTCTTGTACACATTTTTCTATTTCATCTTTTTGAATATGACCATATCGTAGGGCTTGGAATTGAGAGGTTTGCAGCCTTTAATTAATGGAATTCGATGATCATGGATCATGTGAGGAGGCATAATGTTTGGAGTGAGGAATACCATCTCATAATCCTCCAATAACTGATGTAAAGCTTCTTGTTGTTCAACAGAAAGGTTTTAAGAATTTTGATCCAATGACTCATAATTGACATGCTGAGTTTCACTTGGTGCAGATTCAACTTGAAAGAGAATTGCACCCATTGTTGTTTCTTGGGTTATTAACCTTTGCATTTGATATGCTGATATATCCTCAATATGTGATCCCTGAGATGTAGGACTAGTAATGCAGAAGGTTCTTGCATCCTTGATAAATTGCATATATAGTTTATCAAAATCCCACAATATGGGTCCCAAGGTTTTAAGCCACTGAACCCCAAGATGACACGCCCCGACCCCAATATCTTCGAATATCAGGATAAGCACATGATGGCCGACACCCGAGGGTGGCAAAGCCATTTTAAACATGCATATAAATCAAATATGTTGTTAGAAAGAAATATGCCAATGCAGAAACATGTTCAGAGCATACCACTAATCAAGAATAATGTGAAAGAATTATTATAAAAAGGTACGAACAAAGGAATGGGTCCTACACAGAGAATACTCAAAGATACCTATGTAGAAGTGCTCTGATGCTGGGATCGAATACCTCGACTCTAACTCCTGAAGGGGGCGCAAAACAAAGGGTGAGTGGACCAAAGTTTATAATAATAATACTAATAATAAGAAAACCATTTTCTTTCTGAACATACTAACCCCCTGTTTTGAAAGCACATATATAGTATTAGTCTACATAATAGGTTTTCTGAAAACTCTAGCATGCCATGGAAAACATTCGTAAAACATGTATAAATAAAACAATGCTCAATAATGGTGATATAGTAGCCCAAACGCAAGTCCGTAAAACCTCTGTAAATCACATCAATGATGTACTCAACTAGGGGTATCATAGTCGCCCGAAGGTATAACCTGTCCATCACCCGAAGGTGAAGCTGTATGACTCTGGGTTACGCCACAGAAGAAACATATACATAACACACCAACACTAGTCGTGGCTAGTGAAGTTGTCCGACACTGGCTTCGCTAGTGAAGCTGAGGGTATGTTGTAAATATCCTCAACTGTGTCCTATGGCTACATACCCACTAGATAAGCACCGAAAACATATCTCAAAAACTCGTATCAAATCACCAGAGCTCAAAAGCACAAAGCCTCATCTCATAAATCCAACATAAATCATATTTGTAAATCCATATAATTTCATATACGGAAATCCAATAATTCATAACCTTTAGTAAAACGTAAATTTGATAAGTCATAACTATTTTGTAAAAGCAATTTAAATAAATCATAATTTCTCCGTAACCATAATTATAAAAATCTGTAAAACATATTATAAAACATACTCAATTCATGAAATATGAAATGCATGCAAGCCTAATATTTTATAAAACATGGGGTCCACTCATAGATATTTTGTTGTCAGGGAGCATGTAACGACCTGTGCCCAATTATTATGATTTTTATAATTTTAAAAAGTGATTTTACGAAAATGCCCTTCGAGACAAAGTGTTGACTTTTGTTGACTACCATGTCATGTCACATAAGGAGATATTAACGAATGAAGTTGAGGGCAAAATTGTAAATTTATTTATTTCTAGAATACTTCAGATTTTTTGAGCAAAATCTGGTGGAGCCACGTGTGTGGCCCAGATTAAAAGAAAGAAAGATGGTCGGTGGAGATGGAGGATAAATGAGAGAAATGAGGGAGGAACCGGACCAACGAGGAAGGGAGAAAATGAGGAGAACCA